GAAGGAAGGAAGGAAGGAAGGAAGGAAGGAAGGAAGGAAGGAAGGAAAGAGACTCTAAAAATAAAACTACTATATCATCTAGTGATAGAGCTTGTGGGTATATACCTGAAGGAAATAAAATTAACATACTAACATACACTGGAGATACCTCATACCTGGGGTTATTGCTACACTATTGACAATAGCCAAGTTAGGTAACTGGACTAGCTGCCTGCCAGCAGATGAATGGATAAAGAAATGCAGAATACATACAACAGAGCATTAGCCACTAATGAAGACATTTCATGTCATCTGCAAGAATGGATAGATCATGATGCTAACTGAAACAAGCCAGACTCAGAAACACAGCTAGCACATGTTTTCTGCCATATGGGTAATCTAGAAGTAAAAGATGATCTGGAAGTAGAGGGAGAATTATTAGGGAAAAAAGAGAATCAGGAGAAGGAAAGAGGGGTGATGGGAAAGGTTAACAGGAGTGGAATATACTTCAGGTAGGTTATGCACAGTTATGAAACCCATTGTGTTATAAAATTAATAACCGCTTAAATATTTCTGCTTAGGGTAGATGCTGCCCCAGGGGCTTCTGCAGAGCAGATGATCTGTTTTTCACTCTGATGCTAGTTACACAGGTTGGCTTCCTTGTGCACTCTTTCTTAGGTGTGTTATGCTTTAGAAGTGTTTGGTGTTTCGTGGCACATTTGAACACACACACACACACACTCCTCCCGTCATACCTTGCAGGCTCCTCTGCACATGTCCCATGTGTGTTTTTCTGTGTGCCTCTGTGTCTGTGTGTGTCTATGTATCTGCGTGTGTCTGTGTGTGGGTGTGTCTGTGCGTATGTGTCCGTGTGTATGAGAGTGTTTGTGTCTCCTCCCCTCTGTGTGTCCCCAGAATTAGGCCCTCTTCTGTGAGCCAGCACTGCAACCTGTGGTGACTCAGAGGCAGCACTTTCCTCTCTGGCTCATGCTGTTGTAAGTCTCCAGCTGGGATCACTGTGAGCCTCTTAAGAGCAAGGACTATCCCCAGCTTTCTGTGGTGTCCGCAGAGTCTCCTCATAAACAGTGGATGCATGGTGCCTATTTGTTCAATGAGCATCAGGCCTCCGCTGGCGCCCTGCTGCAGGGAGGCGGAGGAGGATGCAGAGGAGGGAATAGGGGAGTAAAGGAAACTCCAATAATAACAAACGAGGCCTAGAATCTGAATGTGTTCTTTAATTCTTGGTGTATTTGGTATTTTTCTCCCTGCTGTGATAAGTTCCTTGCTAGAAGTAACTTAAAAGAAGAATTTGTGTTGGCTCATAGTTTGAGAGGGGAAGTCACGGCAGAGTTCACAGTGGCAGAGGCGTGTTGCTGGCACTACCTGTATCCCAGCAGAGAGGAAGCAGGGAATTCAGGCTAACAGCAGGGCCAGGCCGAAACCCACGAGCTCCACTCCCTAATGACCCACTTCCTCCAGCTAAGGTCTACCTCCTAAAGGTTCTACAACCTCCCTAGACAGCGGGTACCACATGTTCAAGCACACAGGCCAATGGGAAACATTTGGCGTCCAAATTACAGCACTGGGTGTCGGTCCAGACACAGATTAAAGCAAAGCCAGTCAGTCTCAAGGGAAGCCTGGCGCTCTTCTTACGACAGTGTTGACTGTTTCAGCGATCGACTCTCTCCACTCTGGTGTGCAAGCATACTTAGGGTAGAGTTGTGTCTATGCACTGAGGGCTCCAGAAGTGGAGTTCAGCCAGTCTTAGGAGCCTCATTTAGTCTTAGCAGGAGAGGAGGCTCCTGATTTTGGGGTGTGGTGCTAAAAACCATTAGGATCCTGGCTTCTCTGGCCCTGAAGTATTCAACTATTTTTCTCCAGCTGCTAGCTTTTTAAGACTAGATCCTCTGCACACCAATGCAAGGCCAACCCCTCAATCTCTCCTCTGGAACTGGAACTTCCAGTTTTCTGCTATCCCAAGCGAACAGGAGGAGGTGGAGTGAGAGGCCTGCCAACCCTGGCTCTGAATGACCTTGAACTTACACTTCAGTCTTCTCGGGTGCAGCCTCCTGCTCCGCAACAGAGCTTGTTTGGTGTATGAACTCTCCCAAGACTGGGGTCAGGGGTAGAGCTGCAAACCACTGCTCATGTCACAGATGGTGCTTTTCATTTTTTTTTTTTTTTTTTTTTTTAAGGCCTGAAAGATGATCGTTCACCATTGGCTTCAGGGTCAAGGGCTCCCAGAACCTTAGACATCGCTATTCTGAAATGCGGTCTCTAGGTTCAGCCAAGCTTTGAAGCCAGGCACAACAAAAGTCACACCTGCATGAACTGGAAGTAGCTCTGTCATCAAATAAAATGCACAGGGTTAATCCGACACCCACTTAGCCGTCTGCATGATAATTACCATGACGGGTGCTGATTAGGCATAAATGGAAGGCATTTGATGTAAATGGCTGTATTTAGTATTACTTTGATACAGTATAACGGGATTTTTACAGTTCCTTCCTTTTTAGACACTTCATTTATCCATTCGACAATTTTTATGGAGGCTGTAATGTGTACCAGAAATTATTCTAAAACTTGGGATATAGTCAGATTTGGAAGGCCAAGGAACAGACACAGACCCTTGCAGTGTCATTGAGAGCACCACCCTGAAAACCAAGGGTGGCTGTGTCATTCGCAAGTACAGAGGAAGGGTGACATTCAAAGCATACCAGAGTTGGCCCTGACCCTTACAAACAGACACTATTAAACCCTGAAACATCAGAGCCCTTTTTTTTTTTTTCATCCACTGAAAACCCAAAAAGAGCAATGCCTACCTCCGGGACGATGAAAACCAGAAAAGCAAGGAACAGCTTGGACTTTTCCACCTGTGTCCCCAGTGCCTGGCACAGGCTGGCACATAGTAGGTACTCACACGATATCTGTTGAAATAATGAGAGAATAAATTCAGAAATGGTGTAATCTGCCAGGCACTTAACATGTTGGATAGGAATTTACAACCGTAAGTATAATTTTTGCCCCAACCCAAGTTTTGTGCCTTTGGCCCTTCAGTCTCTAACGTGGCTCAGAGGTGCCGTTCATCACATTGCTCTCAGATAGCCTTTCTGTCCCAAGACTGTGGAACATTCTGGTGGGAGCTGATGCTCCTGCGTCTCTGCTTCCCCATGCACCTGCCCCAATATAGCCTTCTAACAGCAAAAATCTGGCAGCCCTACTTTTTCCAGAAGGTGTTATAATGGCCATGCCATCCAGCCTCCCCAAGTCAGAAGAGGTGTTCCTTGGGCATGACTAAGATTTAATCATCTCTGACCGCCCGAGTCTATCTCTGATTTTGAGTGTAAGACCTACCCTGCAAGGGCTTTATCCCTCTCACTCACAGCAGCACGTCCAGAACTTTGGGCAGTGCTCACAAGCTGCAAAGTGACTGCAGAAACAAGCAGATGTCTCCCTTGACAGTTAACACTGCCATGAAGGGCAGCGAACATCTCTTCCAGCCATACATCTACCTAGCACACATGCAACGGGGGCTGTTCCACACAGGAGCTCAATAAACAATTACTGATTCACGCTAGTGGCCAGTTGATGGCGTGGACAAGCCTAGCCTGAAGACAGCTCACCGCAGCCCTGTGTTGCTTGCTGAGCGTGCTGTCTGGGCCCCTGCCCACCCAAGCTGAACGGCAACTCTTCTCACTCACAGCGGTCCCTGCACTATCCTCTCCTGTCCTCGTGGGACTATCACATCATTAATCGTGATTTTCCTGGGTGGGACAGAGAGGAGGCTGACAGCCAGCAGACAGTGTTTGGTGGAGAAAAGGACAGAGAAAATCAGAGGGGCAGTCAGATTAATTACAGGTTTTCTCTCAGCTGTAGGCAACAAGATCTTGATTACTTCTCCTGCCGCTCCAGGCTCCTCAAGACAAATGGATGTTTGCTTCCCTGTGGTTCTTTCACTCCCCCTGGCTGGGAGAGTGAGCAGCAGGCAGCTGCTCAGATAGAAGGTCTAGGGTGTTGGCAAGCCACCATAAGGGAATAAACCATCCCAGTCTGCCAAACTCTTCGGCCTCTTGAGGGAGAATTTAATTTTGTCCCCTAACACAGTTGTGAAGCACTTTGTAAATATCTCATCTCCTTGGTAACAAATAAGGTGGCACCTGGAGGAAGGGACTGCCTGGGGGGCCAGGGGCCTGGGCACACCAACTCTGCAAGTCAACTCTTTGAGCATCAGTTTCTGATGCTGCAAAATGAAGGACTTGGGCTAAATGTTCTCGAAGGATCTTTTAAGCTCTGAAATCCTGCAGTTCAAAGGATGAAATTCCATGATAACACAGCATTTATTGAAAATTTATGGATGCTTATTATGTTTAAAAAAAAACCACCATTTTCTTCAACTCGTTTGGTTCTCAGAAGACCCCTGGGAGGTAAACACACTCATTCATTCTTCCCACCTGCAGGTATGGAGCCTGAGGAGAGAGGGGTTGAGTGGCTTGCCAAGGTCATGCAACTAGCAAAGGCAAACCTGGGCCATCATACCCAGGAGCCTGTTTACTCTCTACTCTTTTTTTACCCACCTTCTCTTTGTGTCCCAGAACCTAGCAAGCAGTAGCTACTTGAGGACACATGGGAACACTGGGACACTATACAATGATGTTAGAGAACAAGGCATGGCATACACCTCAAGACTTCTACACAACTGAATCAGAAGACATGAGTCTGGGGGTGCCCTCTGGAAAAATTGCAGCCCCTGTTTCCTCAACCATTAAGTTTTCTCCCCTCCCCCCCAAAAAAAGAGAGCTGTTCCTGGGCATCTGACATTGCCACCAAGAGCTGAGCCTGAACTGACTCGTTAGGAGAAAATGAAGAATATTGATGCCTGGACAGATTGCCTAACACAAGCCTCACTTTGGAAGTGTCCCATGCTCACTGTAACTGTAGGTATCTGGTAGTCAACAGATCACAGGGCAAGGGACCACCATCCAGAATTCTCAAGTACTATTAAACATAAAGTAATGGACCCCACGCTACCCCACACACATAAACTATTCCCAATTAGATTTCAGATTGAGGCTCCTATTGCATCTTTAAACTAACACCCCTCACCGGCTTTCTTATCTCAGCTGCTGCTGTGTATCATTACACTGGCTGTTTGCTTTCTCTGGGATTTGTTTCCAGAACCACAAGACTGCAGTAGACTGTACCCCTTTCTTGAAAGGTGGCTGCCTGGATCTGAGACTCAATGCACAATGGTCATCTTTCTTCGTCCCTTTGGCCCCATTCAGCCTTTCCCCACCGCTCCTGTGCACAAGACGCCCTCGCCTGCATGCGCATGTCTTGACAATGCAATGCTTTCTCTGAGGCTTGCTTACTGGAACGACTCCAGTGCCTTCACCTCCACAACGCAGCTCCAAGTCAACCCCGCCCTGAAAGCTCTTCCTTCAGTCACAGACTCCCTCCCTGCAGGACCAGCAGTCCTCCACACAGCCCCAGAAGCTCTCTCTGCAGCAATCAGTCCCTCTTCCCCACTCTACCTCAGCCACACACAGGAGAAAAAAACGGCACACTGCAGGTGAAGATTTGTGTGACCTTGGGCTTGTCGCTTAACCTGTCCCCACTGTAAGATGAGAAACTTGTAACATTAGAAAATTGCACTCACGCTGCCTATCTTTTGGGGTTACGAAGAAGACCAAACGAGGTAACGCACAAAGAATTGCTTTGGAGATGAATAAAGTCCTTTTGGAGCAAAATGATGCAGACAGTGCCCATGCCCTGGACTGGCCAAAGCACCTAACTCGTGGATTTGCTTTGTACTTTGTCCGCTCTGTGAATATTTTTATCAAGTGCCTACTCCCTGCAAGCAGTCCCAAGCCCTGGCACAGAGCCCCTGCCTTCGTGGGCCTTATCATGGGGGATGTTAAGTGACATGTATCTGACATTCAGGAAGCACATGTCACCGTTGTAGACAGTGAAGGGAAAGCACAGGACACTCTAGCATAAGCTGTCCAGCTTTCTGCCCACAGGCTGCATGTGGCTAAGGAAAACCGAACCTGACACCAAACTGTAAACTTAGGTAAGGCACTATGATATTTCTTTGTGATCACTGTTATCATTTGTAATTTGATCGCACAGTTCCCAAGTGTGAACTTTTGTAGAGGATGCTGTGGCTCTCGACCTTCCTGCTACTGTGAACCTTTAACACAGTTCCTCAGGGTGTGATGACCCCCAACCATACGATTATTTTCACTGCTACTTCATAACTGTAACTTTTAAACTGCTACGAATAGTAATGCAAATATCTAATATTCCGGATAGCTGATATGAGACCCCTGTGAAAGGGTCGTTCCATCCACAAAGGGGTCACAACCCTCTGATGAGAACTACAGCTCCAAACGGTGACAAAAGGGCATAGCTGGCTAGGGATAGTAGCATGGGATGGCCTATTAGGATTGGGTTAAAGATAAGAATCAGTGGGCAGGGGAAGATCAGCTCAGAGAAAATAGCATATGCATTCCCCAGTGGGGCATCAGCCATGCTTTTAGAAAGCATATATGACTGTGCCCACCCCAATAGAAAAATCCCAGAGATTCTTGAATGTAAACCTGCTGTGACAATCAATGCTGAGCCTCCCTCGTTAGGATGAAGTTAATCCGCTCCCCAGCTCCCTGCTTTCCTAGGCCCAGGATAAGCTATACCACCTAAAACTATGTCCCCCGTGAGCCTCACACTGGACGCACCACCACCCTTCAGATAAGGTTTGCAAGGCTTAGCCCCTGCAAACATCCCCTGTAGAGAGCCAATTGCCAGCTGCAGGTGTACAAAGGGCCACAGAGTCCGACAGGAACCGGGGGTGGGGGGGACTGACTTGGAATGTAAGAACTGCTCCTGGCATTTATCTGAGCCATTGGGCCACTCTGGGGTAGATGAGCTCCTTGGAGAGAATACATGCACCACAGTTTTGAAAGCAAATGGTTCAGTGCTGGAGTGTATCTTTTAGATACACATTTCGGGGGAACAGAGGGGAGAGGTGCAGGGAGAGCGGGTTCTAGGGCAGGGTCTAACCACCTCTGGAAAAGGATGTCCTCTCTCCTCTGTTGGAATCTCCCTGATACTTTGACGGTATGGCGGGGGGGGGGGGGGCCTGTCGTGTAGACTCTTGCCTGGGCCTTTGGAGAGCCTGAAACGAACTGGGATGCTCAACCTTGAAAGAGGTTGGAGTGATATCCTGCATCATGGCAGACACTCAAAGTGTCACTCCGGGGAGCCAGAGAGGCTTTATCCTACATTATCACAGATAATGATGGCCAAGGTCAAGGTCAGACAGTGACAACCTAATGTGATAAGGAAGAAGTCCCAAGGCCTGGAGCTTCTAGGGCACCCTCAGCCTGGCTGCATCACCCCAAGTGGACCCCTCAGTAAATCACTCCTGTCTGTAACCACATGCATAAGCAATTCTGATGTCTTAGATGCCATGTTCAGAAAGCTGGGCTCTACCAGGTTTACTTAAAATCCTAGAAAGCACAGACAAAGATGCAGCCATCTTGGCAAATATTCCTTGGAGCAACTCTGGACCAACCCCTCGCCTCTCCCATCAGTAGAAAAACTACAATCTAAATAAAGATTCAGAGGCCGGGTGCATGGTTCAGTCAATAGACAACTTTCCCAGCATTCACCAGGCCCGAGTTCTATCCCCCAGCACCAGTTAAAACAGAGTAGTGGCATGCGTCTACAACCCCAGCACTTGGAAAGTGGAAGCAGCAAGGTCAAAAGTTGAAGCATATCTGGGTACATAGTGAATATGACGGCAGCCTGAGTCTCATAAGAGTCTATATCAGCAACAACAAAACTTTCTATGATAAAAGTTTACACAAAGTAACAGGCAGCTCTTTCA